AGGCTATCATACCGGCTGGACATCATATCGAAGAGTGAAGTAAACACTGCAAGTCGAACACCCAGTTTCTGAATCCAACAGAGGGGGTGCTCACCGAGGACCTACCCTAGAAAAAGGACAGAAACACACAGGTCCCGGGAAACACTGCAAAGAAAACTAGCAGAAGGATTATACAAACAACCACCAGCGCATTAAATACACATATACATATTAAGAAATGGATCGTACTCACCCACCATGGTTTCCGCATCGGAGCCCCGTCCGAAGAAGCCTCTGGTCCGGACCATCAATAAGGTGGTCACTATGAAGCCATAGAACCAACCAAACATCATAGGTCCAGCATAGGAGACTGTAATGCAGGAAATTCCGGACCAGGACCCCTATGCTGCTCGGGCTTAGACCTGGACCATCGTGAAATGAAGGACTGAAGGCCGCTGAGCGTGCCTTTGCCTCCCTGAACTTCTCGACCACCGTCTCAACGGAGGTACCAAAAATACGGAAGGCGAAACCGGCGCATCGAGAAGAAAGCCCCTCTCTTTTTTCCCGATATCTGCTAGGTTCACCCACAGATGTCCTTCCGTCACTACCATAGCCACCATGGACCTGCTGCTAGCAGAGGCGGACGGATTCTTTGTTTGAAGAAATGCACGCTTCAAACAAAACAGTCAATGAAGACGAAGAAGAGGATGATGTGTTCTCCCGGCACCTATTTATACTACAGTTGCACCGGTAGTGACATCATGGCTGTCGCCGGTCAACGTGTTGTTGGTGTTTTTTCAATGTATGCTTCAGACACGGGTCACGACGAGGCGTTCCCCATAGCGACCCCTAGAGGACGTAGTTCGAAGTTCCCATGAAAGGGAACTAGAATAAATTACATTTTGCAATGCATTCACATAGAAAATAATTATTTTTGTAGTTATATTTCACAATATTACTGTTTTTATGGTATGTTTGAAAATGTAGGCTTAAGCTTTTTTTTACGTGAAAGATGTATTTAATGTGTCAATAAATGTTTTGGTACTCTTGTGAATTGTCTTATTTTGACAGTAATTATGAATATGAAATATAAATATAATCAATGAATTCACGGTTGTAA